CAAAGTTTTTCACCCAGTTTGGCCCGCCAGTCTGGTCCAACGCCAAGTTCCAGTCAGTCCAACCCACCACATAATGATTTAAGTCCTGCCATGAAGAAGAAAAAAAACACCCACAGGTTAGCGTCAAGTCTGCAGCTTTGTTGTCAGAGGTGTTGTTTTCTCTAAATGAATTCTTTGGACTGATGCCAGCTGTTTTATTTAAATGTCACAAAAACAACACATCTACATAAACAAATCCCTCCTGATTCTCAATATGTCTAGCGTCTGAATGCGCCCATGTAAAATGGATAGAAAGGAGGGAGTCTAGTTTCCTTTGAGAGAGGGTGAAGACAGAAGAAACTAAACACCAGTTCCAGCTTGCTTTGATGGCCTGCAGGCAGTTTGTGCAGCAGAGTGCGACTTCCAAACCTGCACTGCAGCATGGAGGGAGGTGTTTCACCTTACAGGGACAGCCTGTCATATCTCACATCTGTTACGGTGGATGTGACTGAACAGGTACAGCCCATCATGCATAAGCAAAGACGATCTCACCTCTATAATGTCGTGTGCGTACTGTTCAGCTCGGTCCCAGCTACCCAGCTTCACCCCTCTGTCGAGAGGGTTCCAGCCTGAGCACGCCTCTGTGCCGAACAGGTAATACTCTGGGTACAGGTGATGTGTGACTCCCAGGCTTATCTCAGCTGGGACCAGACTGTCCATGTACCAGTGAACTGCAACACCATGAATGTACTTTCCTGCATGAATATCATTTAACACCTGGAGGTACAAGGGGGAAAAAAATGTTTAGAATCACTGGCCTCAAACATCCTCTCATCCTCTGCTTTCTGTGGGCAGAAATGTTGGTAAAAAAAAAAAAACATTTGGTGTCCTATTTAAGGATGTCAAGAGACCACACAAACCAATAAACTCAGTGTTTTCTTTTCAGGATGAATCATTTTTATTCTATCTCAGATACCAGTCTGACATTATACTGTATATCTATGTGTGGTTTATCTATTTATGTCCTACACTGATTTAATATCTCATTTCTAGTCTTGACATCAGTGTAGCCTGAGTTAATTCAAAGTGCACCATGACTTTCCCTCTCTTTCTCTGTCCTTGGGACTCACCACTTTGGCCCAGTGCGGCAGCAGCAGGCGGTTGTCATCCAGTATGAGGACGTGTGTGTGAGGATGAGCTGAAGTGTGCAGAGCAGGGCCCAGGTCCAGAGCCACCCAGTCCCTCTGCTCCTCAGGAGTGAAGCCTAGGGCCTGGAAACTGCCGTAAACATATTTCTCAGTGTGCTGTGGAATTAAGTGGCCGTGACACTCTTTCTGTGTGTAAAACGACGTACCTGTAGTGGGTCATCTCTCCTGCAGTCGGCTCATTCCCTGTGGTCAGAGCCCAGAAGGTCAAGTTATATTTAGCATATTCATCAAGGAACCTAAGAGAAAATAAAAAAGGTTACCTACAAAATATGTTTTTCTTCTTATCGAGGATTACCAACATGTGACATCACACTCAGATGAGACCCCATGTGTCACCTGATATAATACTGAGCCCAGGTTTTGTACTCTTTGCCCCCAGGCTGGCCCTTCAGGGATCCTTTTCCTATGAGTGCACCGTTAGTTTTCAACCAGGCGGGGGCACTCCAGGCGCTCGCAAGCAGAGACAAGGGGCGAGGTGACAAGGCCTGAGCACGCTGCAGGAGAGGGATCTGAGGGAGGAGGAAGACGGTGAGGAGGAGGAGGAGAGATTATGAGGATGAAATGATGTGCATTAATATGTGGGAGAGCGGGGAAAATGATAGACCTTCATCTTTACATCCTCGGGGGACAGAGTGAAATTATCCAGGTTGTAGTCTCCAGGAGTATCGGCATACGTGTATAGACGGGTGGAGAAGTCACAGCTTGCTATGGGAACACGCACCACACTGTAGCCAATACCTGCAGAGACAGAGTGCCAAAAGCAACTGAGGCTGGCTGACTATTCAGTATCATTAAGATTCTACCTGGGCCTGGTCTGTGAATTTGGGGCATCATTACATCTTTAATTTCTGTATGCTTACGCTCTTGTTGCTATAATCACATGGCAGACCAAAAAGCAGGCCATCACAAAAACATGTTTCTAATGATAATGTGTTTTTTGAATTACTAATATTAAAATTATTACCTCTAGTCAATGTGTTCATTTATCGACTCACGTCACTTTAACCCCTCTCATACACATTATTTATAAATGAACTATTAAAATAGTCTGAGCCACTATGCTGTACCTTTAAGACAATATAAATGTATGCATAACTTGTTATTATGTATTCATTAATACCCAACATGTCCATAAAACTGTTAACAAGTCAAATTCAATGTAATATATATCAACTTAAGTATAGATATAGTAGATATGCTAAGTAGGGAATGTTCAACAGAATGCGATATTACAGTTTGACTCTGCATACACTTGGCAACACTATGATGTTTATATACTGTATCATTTAAGGAAAATGTTACAATTCACTTCGCAGCTTTTATCCAAAGCGACGTACATCAGAGAGTGAGTACAACACTAATCCATTCATACACCGCCACTGAAGCAGAGGGAGCAATGCAGGGTTAAGTGTCTTGGTCACATCGGACATGTTTCAACCTCTCAGTTGAAAGAGCGATGACTCTACCAACTGAGCCACAGCCGCCCAAACAAAATATATTTTGTATTTATTGTGAGTGGTGCTAGACAATGTGGATCCTCTCCCAAAGGGTTATTGAATTTGGGGGGCTTTTTATGCCTTGATTTAGGTCAGTGGATAGAGTCTGAAATCTGGGTGACAGAGAGTGGAGACGTGCAGGAAAGGAGCCACCGGTCGGATTCGAACCTGGGCCACCCGCCTGGAGGACGTTAGCCTCTGCATATGGGGCGCGTGCACCAACCACTAAGCTATCGGCGCCTCGAATGTGGATCCTTCCGATGAGTGAAACTAATCTGGACAGACGCCTCTTGCAGAATGTGAGGATGTATTTTTCATATATTGGAGCAAGAGAATCATTGCTATGTGAAAAACACTTCTGCTTTGTGTTAACATTAACCATGCAGGATTAAAACATGTATCTGATCTACAACCCTGTGTTTCCACAGAGGATTGGCCTTAGCTTTTTTTTTTAGTGGATACCAGTGGTTACAGGTGTCCACATGCAGTGTACCTTCAGGTGAGAAGTACTGTCTGAGCAGCTGATCCTGTGCACCAGCGGACAGAGACAGGATGTTGATGGCTGCCGCATCTGTCATAGCTCCACCAAATCCCCTGATCCTCTGGTACTTCTGGTAGGGAACGATAGTCAACCTGAGACCTGAAAGTGAAACAAAATAACAAAACAAAGAAAAGAAAAGAGAGATGCTCCACCTCACCTGCTCGATTACCACAGAAGTCTCATCATCAACACTCACCTGTCCCTGTGCTGTTCACCTGGACCAGACCCTGCGCTGCCTCCAGTCTGCTGCCTGCCATGCTGCTCAGGTAGGAGGAGTACTGACCCAGAGGAGGCAAAGGGACTGACCCAACACTGTCACAGTATGTGGAATTACACTCACACACAACAGAGTCATGGCCAAACTTCCTGGCAACACATTCATTACTTCCTGGAAGAAGAAAGTCAAAGAAACGTGAATTTTACTTTACTATGTGAGGATTTACGATTACTATCCATGCAAGTAACAACAAGAGGACACAAAACATGAACAGCCGCGAATTAATTCAGCTGTTTTCTTGAATGTTGTGTTACCTGACGAGATGGTCACTTCTGCAATGAGGACAACAAAGGCCAAAAGTAAATATAACGGCAACGACAGCGCCATTTTATCTGGAGACACAGAAGATCCAGTGTTTAAAATTGCATTAAAAACCCCGTTTAAAGTAAGTGTCAGGAAGCAAAATTAACCTGAACAACGACCCACCTGCTCCTGTCAATTCGCTGACTCACACACATTGTATTGTCATGTCATTTTGAGGACTGTACAGGAGATTATCTCACCTTACAGGATCCGGATACAAACTCTGTCATGTCCTGTAAGGTAATAAAATAAATCTGATCCGCCACCTTGACTTTAACAACTCCGCCGTTTAAGCCCACTGATGTTTTGACGAGCGAATGAGACTTTTGTATGTGTCATGTGACTACATCCAACTATCACGTGAACACGCGTGCAATATTCTGACCAATCGCCAGGTGGTGCTGTATCACGGTGCTGTAAGGAAAGGAGGGGGGACCTCAGATTAATGTTACTGTGTTACGTGTGCTTCCAGATGTTTGAAAAGCGTAACATAAGTTAACAGCAATATTTTATTCATGACTTGGGAAATATAGAGAAATGATATCATATGTATTTGAAAAAGTTTTTATAGCCTTATCCAAATAAAACTTAGAGCCTCTCAAATGTGTGTAAACCCAAGTTACTGTTTCTGCATCATTTCCTTTTATATACATTCCAAAAATGTAATGGTTACACATACATGGCATATAATTGAATTGTACATTTAGTTAGCTATTATGTGGCAGATATGATTTAATTCACAAAGATCATTTTCAGATTCTAATAGCAGACTATAGAAAATTGTAGAAGGCCCATAGCATGTATAGCTTTCCTAGTCTTCCGACTACTCAAAGCACTTTTACACCAAAGGTCACACCTACCCATCCACACTCTCATGGCAGAGGCTGCTATGTACAGAGACCATCAGCATTAACTTACACATACATACACATTCATACACTCCTGCTGGAGCAGTGGGAGCTACTTGGGGTTAAGTGTCTTGCTGAAGGACACATCACACATGAAAACGACACATTGACTGCAGGAGCTGGGGATTGAACCCCCAACCTTCCGGTTGAGAGACGATTGACTGTACTAACTGAGCCACAGTCATTTAGTCTTGTAACAAAGCAGCTCCTCTTAAACTAAGTGAAAGGTAATTAAAACTACAAACATGTTGAATTTAAGAAAAATTAAATATATAAAAAAAAAAAAACTTGTTTTAAACTGTATTATTTTATTATCAAAGTTACACACATGCATCATAATTTACAGAAGCACACATATATTATAGACGTGGACACTTGTGTTTATTTCTGAGACACTGATATTCATGGTTGTGGTTTATATCTCTTTAGAACTTCAGAGGGAGGCACAAACTCTGTCCATCATTGACGGGTTTCTGTTGCTCAAAAAGATGATTTCTTTCTTTCCTTCCTCTGTGTGGCCTGATGAGAAAGAAAACCAGTTGTAGTCAATTAAATCACAAACTTCATATACTTGTATGTGATTTTAGAAAGCAAAGCATCCAGAGTCTTATCACTTACTCTGTGGATGCTGTAGCCAGTGGCGGTCCATGTAATAGAGGTAACAGCTTTCAAACTCTTTCTCGCTGTAGTTGGGCACTGACACCGGGATGAACGGGTCCATGTTGTCAAACCCCGTCTGATGAACGAAAGGACAGAAAGAATTCAACATATTTGACACCAAAAACATATTCAGGTAGCCTTTTCATACATGAAAATACCACAACATGGATAACCAACATTTAGTTGTACTGACTAACTGAGTAGATTAATCCAAACAATACAGACTTTCATAGTATTACTATGGACCATTACAGAACCAACAGTAATTGTCCATCGCTTTAGTACTGTTCTTATGAATACGAATATTAATTTATATGTAGAAAGGGCTGGAAACATGCATAATATTACTAATCTTAAATATATTAGAGAAGCTTGAGCGATGAACAACCCAACTTTGAGTTCGATTGTTGTCCATGTTTGTAAAAATGGCAGAAGTGGCAGAAGTGTCTGAAGATGAAAGATTGATTGGTTCCATAAGGAAATGGATCTTTTGACATGCAGACATCAGATAAATACAACCACTAAAAATATTACTACGGCAACACAATCTCAAGGTGTAATGCTCCAAACAGGTACAGCTTCAGGCATAAACTACATGAACAGAGGAGACAGAATGGAAGCAGAACGGACACATTGAAGGATTGAATGGTGTTAGGTTGCTGCTCTCCAAACACTTTGCTTGTGTGTTAAACAGCCAGCTTAGCACAGAGCGAAAGCAATTATGCACAAAACAAAGGCTGTGAGTCGTCCTTTGTTGATAAATGCCACACATAATCTGTACACTTGTAATACACTGAATGTAACTGGCTGTTTTGTTGATGTCGAGATGCTTAGAATAAACTGATGTCTTGTCTCAAGGGCAGGTTTGCAGTTTCCTGACTAACAGAACAGGGTTCAAATAAAGACGGAAAAGGCTAATCCGTTGTCAAAGCTCGAGGGAAAGCTTTGCTTCAGATTATTAAGTACAAAAAGATGACTTCTGACCTCTCCCAGCAGCTCTTGAGGCAAATATTCAGATCTTGAAGTGTAGAGAGACCCCGTCTGAGCCAGAGTTGTGATGATGGCGCCTCCAGTCTGAGACAGAGAGTGAATGTTATTGAAAAAAAAAAAAAAAGGAAATATTCTCATAAAGCTTTAAGTTATCGCCTTGAGTGTTTCCTGCTCACCCAGTCGTTTTTCATCATTTTCCTCAGGTTATAGACTAAAGTGAGCTCTTCAGGATCCACCTGATGGACACAAAGGGATAAATATTAGCGTTACTAACTGTAGATTTAGATGATTATTAAAGGACTGTCACTGTGTTTCCTTACAGCACTCTTATCCTCCTTTTTGATGGTGGATCTTCCCCACAGGGCATTGACACCGTCCACAGCTACAGCCAGGCGAAAGTCTGACTCCGGCTGCCCACTCTGCAGCCTCAGCTCCTTCATCACCGCCCCCACAACATCACTGCTGCTCTTCACACGAGATATGCCCTGCAGCAGAAAAACACCAACATAAGCCCGAAGACAACATCCAACACAGTGAAAGAGGAACTCCACTGACTTGATGCTACAAAGTCTGGAACAGAGTCCTGGAGAGTACTGCAGTACATGTGATATGAGGTTGTATAAAGCCTTCAGTTGCTCCAGATGGAGCCGTTTGAAAAAATTATTGACTCAATTAAATTACCGTAACTTGAGTCAGGTTGACTGGAGCACATGACGATAAGTCTGAAAATGTAAATAATCTGAAAGTATGAAATTGGCCGGCTCCTCGATTATGGGGAGCAGGCCCCCGAGTTATGACAGAGGATAAAGATGGGCGAATAAAACAAGAAAATAAACATTTCTAAGATTCTATGTTTTCCCTTTAAACTGTCAATCGCTAGTCTGGAAATGAGGCATGTTAAATTTTGGTACTACAAAATCTAACTGAGCTGCTAAATTGTGGTCTAGTGTAAGGCTAACATGCTCCACTCTGAAATTTAAGCCTGTTGCCATCTAAGATTTCAATAAAGATGCCTCAGCGAGAGGTTCAAGCATTTATTTTTCTCTTTGTATGTAAAGTATGAAGTGACTACGACTTACGTTTCATTTCTCAACCATGTGTTGTTAAAAGACACTTGACCTTAATTCCTGAATTATGTCTCCGTTAATTTGCTTTCAAAGCCTATCAGACCTAATAATAGCCTTGAACTGTACCTCAAACAGTGACCAAAAGTTAGTTTGAAGTCTGACAAAATCAGGCAGTTCTTGAGTCTCAAATATTTGGATAATTTTATAGAAAATGGTGCAGTGAAAGATATGAGTGAGAATGCTGATAAGAAGAGATTAAGCATTTACAGGCTGTTCATAAAGCATTGGCTAACAGTATGGTCTAAAAATAATGTGTGGATCCACCACCATGTTAGTCTCATGGCTAGAGGTCAACAAGCACAGGCCAGGTAAGAATATAAGAATGAAAATGTAAAGACTCCTGGTTAAAGTCTGTAGGACAGAAGATGACAAAGGGTAAAAACAATGGGATGATAAAGGGTAACAGATAGAAATAACTCACATCCACAATGAGGATTAAAAAAAAACATTTTCTGTTGTAGAAAACTGAAACGGTAAGGGCGGGATATCCAAACCAAGACTCACCTGATCCACCAGCTCTGCTAGCAAGCTTCCCTCCTCAGTGAACTCTCTCTTCGTCCACACATAGCGCTGTTTGGTCTTAATCTGGGAGAGAAACGGCACAGTCGCATTAAGTGTGCAGTGTCAAAGACAGTTTCATAGACCATGTTCATTTCCTACACTTTGGTCTGTTTAATGGGGGCTTTACATTGACATGAATGGCATGTTCATCAATATGTTAGAGGACATTCTTTAGACAAAATCAGACTGTTTATTAGAGCTATTAATTTGCTTCTTTTTTTTTTTTAACAAAAACCCAACGTAAACAAATGCACAGCAATCAAATGTTAACACTCACCATATTCTACAGCATATAATACATTGTTTTTATTGAGATGTTACATTTATTCTATTTACCTGCTGTGGAGCAGTGTCTGAGGGGTTAAATTACTCCTTTCCCATTGAATTTAACTGTTAGTGTAAAATGTTTATAAACACTGTGTATACTCCTCCTACAGTGGTTACACTTTGCCTAACAGAGGTGTTTGGTTGATTTTTCATCAGCATGTGAGCACAGTGAAGACACAGACGAAACTTAAAGTCTTTAACGTGCTCCTTACTAATGGGAGAAACACGTAACGTCTCTCTAACCTGGTTTGAATGGATTTTGAAGTTGAAAGTTAAAATGATAAAATAGTAGAAAATGTAAATACAGTTTGTAGGTACATTGTATACTTATCTTTACCTTTGATAGGAAGGGCTCATTGGTGGTTCTGAAGTTGCGTAACCATTCGGTGGCTTGTAACGGCTGATCAAAGCGAGACGAGTTAAAAGACGAGGGCAGCAGCTCTTTACAGTTCTTCACCCAGACATGAGCTGTATTATAAAACACCGATAAGAAATTAGCTCTTTCTGTACTCCTGTAGGTTCAGCTGTTAGTCAATCACTCAGTTCATTTGTCTCACCATTCGGAACATGAAGGACCAGCCATCCCTGTGTGTAGCAGAAGTGGACGGTGTGACAGAGAGACATTGTCTTCCCACTGCCCTTTAACCCATCTGAGCCACTTGTTAAGGTTGACAACGGGATTATTGAGAAGCATCGAAAGAAGAGAAGTCTGTCTTTGTGTGTTTGTAAGTGTGTGTGTGTGTGTGTGTGTGTGTGTGTGTGTGTGTGTGTGTGTGTGTGTGTGTTCAAAAGGATACAGAAAACATATCGCACAGGGGGTTTGCTGATGTCTGTTTTCTTCAGGTAATCAATGACCTCAAGAGCAGGCTGCCTCACCATCACACAGGCTTCATTAAACGTCTTCACCTGAAATCGGACATGGAGGACATTTGAACACTGCGATGGAATAAGCACACTCAAAAACAAGTTAAATAGAATACAAATAAAGTGCATTTAAAACAATAGCATAAGCCCTGACCTGTTGTTGATAGCGCCGAGGGAGGCCATGAGGGAACAGAGTGCGGATGTGTGCAGATGGCAGAGTGTAATACTGTCCAATCTGATTCCCGGACTGACATGCCTGCCGAAAGACAAACAGTGAGCTCATAGCCTTAGATCACACAATATGTTTATACCACCTACTACGAAGCAAGACAAGAATATTTGCTTACCGGATCGTTCTCTTGTGTTCTAAAAACTGAGAAGGGCTCTGGTTCTGACTCTACAGCCAAAGCCTCCTGCTGCTGCCCACATCCACTGGTATGAAGGGACCTAACATGTGTTACCTGCAAAAGTTGAATTATTAGAGATGTTTCACATGTTAACCCTAAGACAGGGTCACACATGCAAAGTTTACAACTCTGGAATTTATATACACTTTTGTCTTCTTCAAATAGAGTTACACAATATGCAAATATGTTAAACACAATATTAAATACTACAACAGAGTAGCTTATTTTGACATATACAAACATATCATTACAGGCTATCTCATCCCCTGGATATTTATTTCACCAATTCCTGAAAAGGATTAAAGTTAAAGGTAGTTATTTTTATTAACCTACTGCAACAAAAAAAAAAAAACACAACAATGTATTTTGTTGTTTTTATTCTTCACATAGTGTTCAGTATCTACAGCCTTATTTAAACTGAGTGCTAACACTGATCCTACCGTCTGCCGTAGTCTGAAGGACAGTCTGTGCAGCGCCATGATCTGAAGAAAGGAAGACGAATTCAATTAGTTGTATTTCAGGGAAGTGCCCAGTAACAAGAAACATGCACATTATGTAGCCACAAGAGTCCTGTAACCTTGCACAAACACTAAGCTAACTGCTAGCAGAGGCATATTGCAGTAACGTAACTTACTAGCAATGTCGAGCTGAGGGAGAAAATAAAGCTGTTCACCCGCTGTTTACTTCATTTAATATCCACTGACGAGGATTTCAGGTTAATGGTTCATTTGCCAACACACGTCTCCCGGAGAAGTTTTCAAAGTGGCTACCGTACAAACAAAAAAAAAACCCTCCGGACGAAGTCAATGTGCCAGACCTGTCATGGACATCGCCATCATGTAGCGCAGAGCAGGAAGTGACGTCACTCCATCACAAGGCTTTGGAGCCAATGAGGTGACATCACACGAGCCAGGCCACAACAGCAGGGCAGAAATTATACTTTTTCAGATTTTGACCAGAGACTGTAAGTATTGTATTTGCAGCAACTATGAGTACAGTTGAACAGCTGTAACACACTGTAACGTTTGTTCAGTCATAAACAACTGAAAAAGTGCTTTTATAAACTTAGAAAGTGCATATATCTTTCAAAAAAAGAATAAAGCAAAGCTAAGTAAGCTAGGTTTAAAAAGCAACAGTCTACTTACCTGGACTTACCTTGAAGAGAAATTCTCATAGATTTCTTCAACATGTACTAAGCTCATTTTATATCTTAAAATGTCAGTATACTAATTTTGTTCTATAAGTCATTTTCAGAGGCCCGTTTAGCTGGTCTATTTACTCCACTGTACATACAGTACTTGTGTTTACTTCTTACTTTTAAATCTATTCCGCCTCACTTTGCTTTTTAATATTTCTCTTTGGAATGGATTTATAAATATTTGTCTCTCTTTTATTACGGGTATTATTTTTGGTGTATACACTTTACATTTGAGTAGTCTGGTCTTTAAGTCTGTTGTGCTTACCCAGAAAGGATTTATTGCACAAGTTTTGGACTTATTGTCACAACAAATTTACTGGATCATAAACATGGTGATGCTCTTTAAGCATTTCTCAGATCCCATGGTGCATATTTGCACAAAATATGTATTAAAACACCTCAAACTAATATACACACAATACTTCACACTATGTACGGTGTGAAGTACTAGTATTACCTTTATTTACAAAATAAATAAAAACTACTCACAGTCATCCCAGACTTAAAAAGTGTAATTTGGTTGATCCTGTTTAAATTAATTTCCAATTTGTCTCCTGAATATGCAACAACAAACCCTTTGACAAGTCCTGATTTAAAGACTCTCTTTTATATAAACCCCTTTAATCTGATATTGGACAGGTGGACATGCAAAAATCCTTGGCAAGATTTACTGTTGTTGTTTTTACAAGGTAGAGCTAAATTTCATTTGTACCCAACATGAACACTTTAGCTAATTGGATGTTACAGTGAACACGGGGCGGCAGGAGAAATACGGGGGCCAGTAGGGGCCCAAAAGCTTATTCTTGTGCCAGGGTCCCAAATCTATTTATTCTGCCCTGTGTATGGACATGTGATGGTAGCACTGTTACAACTTATAAGATGAGATCAATAGAAAAAAAAGAACAACTAATAATTAAGGGCTTGTCAGATTTTAATTAGGAATATCTCATTTAGTCAGTTAGTTTAACTATGACTTTTTGATTTGTGTACAACTAAAGGAAGACAATATGTCACCACTCGGTTGTGTTACTTTGTAAAGTAAATATAGTTTAAAAAAATATTTGAATATGACATCTGTATGATGATAATAGTAGATCGGAATAGTAGATACAGAAAGGGTAAGTTAATGCAGTGTGGATACGACCCTGACCAGTATCATTTATATAAAAAAACAAACATCCTTATTAGGCTACTACTTTTACTTTGATGTTATAGCCTATTGCTATGAGCTATTGTATCATATGGGCATATCACTATAATCACTATAATATGACCTTGATTTATATTTAGTGTTACGGGGGGGGGGATCATTGGTTTAAGTTGTGGATCAATACTTTCTGTAACTGATAGCCTATGATAAGAAGCTATTTTACATTAAGTTCTTGACAAGTCTTTTGCCCACCCATGCCTGTACCGTCCTCCCGCAACATTGTCAACTGAGTCCCGCATTACAGGAAGAGTCACAACTTTTGAGAAGCTCCCCAAAATCCTTTCAAGCAGCTAACTTTAGCCAAGTCGTCGCCATTTTATTAAACGTCTAAATCGCCCTCCCCAATCGGCTATTATGAACCGCAATGAGATCCTGTGCTGTGTTCGCCGTTTTATCTCCTCCTCTGGCCACATGAAAATGGCCACGCAATTGCATTCCCGCACATCCCTCCAACCCCTGTGCGCTGTCAGCCTAAAGCCCCGCACACACACACACACACACACACACACACACACACACACACACACACACACACACACACACACACACACACACACACACACACACACACACACACACTACTGCTGCTGCAGCGATGACCCCCGTCTTACTGACACGTTAACAGCCCGTGTGCATACGGGAGTACAATCCGAGCCATTATTGCTGGCGGGAGAGACGTAACTTTCCCCGAGAGAAGTGGGCAAATACCGTCTAGTGTTACCAGTCCGCCACCTAGCTGCGGAGACGCGCCGACGAAGATCTGTCGACTGTGTGATTATGAAAACACCCGCGCCAATGTTGTTTCACAGTGGGCTCCGCGCTCCGATGGGATTGAAACTCGGTTTTTAGGAGGTGTTTTAACCTCCGCTGGCCTTAGTTATGCAATCAAAGCAACATCTAATGCACCAAAAAGCTCCGGATCGCTGCTGGTGCGAAGGGGATAGCAGGACAGCAACACCTTAACCCTCCTGCCTAAACGCAGTTGGCTACGGGACGCGCTCTCGGGTAAGTAGCCTACGTAGCCTTATTTTCAGATTTTCATGGCAGCCTGTGTTAATATGTGCAGAGAGGCCTGTCATCTTCATCAGCGATTCTCACAGCACTGGAGGTTAGTGAGATTTTCCGTGCATCCGCTTTGCGCTAATTTTATCCCTTGTTGCCGAGTGTGTTTCTCCGTGCATGGGGGGGATATTTCTTATTTCAGTGTTGCTGACACCAGCAGAAGGGCTGGCAGAGGACAGCTAGAGGGAAAAAAAAAAAAAAAGGAAAAAAAAAAAAAGGTGGATCGGGTCTAATACACATCACAAACACCACAAGCGAGCACATCTTGGCGCTACGTAGCACCTCCACCTCCTCACTTCCATGTTGAGTTTGAATTTGCAGTGGATATATGTATGGTTTAGGATGCTTAAATGTGGGTTATATTGAAATATGGAGACGGGGTGACGACAACAGCAACACGTGCATGTGTGTATAATTTGTAAGTGCGACAGTATCAGGCGGGTAGTGGTTTTCAGACGTGCGCAAAGTCATTATTGAGAAGGAAGCCCCTGTTGACGTCCTCAGTAAACCAGTGGTAGGTCGCTCCAATACCCCCACTTGCCCATACTGTATCTACAGTAGCAACATCAGTCAGCCTACGCAGCTGCGACCTGGGTACACAATGTACGACCAACACACTAATAATTGTTGGAGAAAGTGTGTGTGCGCGCCTGTAAAACTTCCCAGTGTGTGTGTTTGTGTGTGTGTGTGTGTGAAGTAAAGCTGCATTGACAATGTGAGTCTTCACGCTTCAATATTTTTGAGATGCCATCACAGCAAACTTAATTTCCAGCTGTGGGCTTGCTGTGCTCGTGCTGTTGTCAGGCAGATGATGATGATGATGATGATGATGATAGTGTTGTAGTTATTGATGATAACTACACCGTCATGGGTTGGTGATGATGGCTGGAAATATGGTGGGCCATTATCTTGATTTAATCGTCACCTCAGCGCTGCCAAGGAACCACACTGACTCTAGTGTCAAGACCACCCATCATCCTGTCACTGGAAATAGCTTCTCGTCTAATGTTAGAATAATTTAGAGTTATGTCTGAGAGGTATAGCTCGGGAGAGTATAAAAAGATATTAGTATGCAGTTTGACTGATGTTGAATGGGCTTGCCCTTTTTAGTTTGAAAACCTGCCACTCCTGCGCTCTTCACATAGTCACTTTGCTCGAGCAGATTGAAACTGATGTGAGTCAGTATTCTTCTCAGGCCTGTATCCTCTTCACTTTGCTACTCTAGCTGAATGCAAGGTTTGTAGGTCAGAGGTCATGAAAGAGGACCCATTACCAACATTTCCTGATACCTGCACTGTGTTGGCTGATACAGGGTAACTCTCCTGGTCTTGGTTGATGAACACAATAAAAATAGAAAATTATTCTTAGGTTTTTATGCAAAAACACTGGTTAGGGACATTCTGCTAGCTTTACATGACACCTAAAACTACTGCTAGCATCACATTGTTGTTGTTTATTTATTTCTGCTTCATTTTACTATCATAATAATTGACCTCAATTGAATTTCTGGGCTAATTTGTAATGGTTTTGGATCAGTGATTGGCATACTTGCCTGACAACACATGTTAGGCAGAATTAGAGGCCGATGCTAATGAAGATATCCATACTATATCCACACTTTATATAAGTCTAGATGTCGTAACAAAAGTAGCATCAGTTTTTGAAGGGCCACTGTCCTTCCTTATACTCGTTTCATCTCATTGTAAAGAGGTTTGGCCTTGGAAAATGCTTTGCAAAATGGTTACATAACAGCAGTTACTGGAACAGATGTTGATTTGAAGCTCAGTATGATTCAAGGAAAGGGTTTGGGTGTGGAGGGACCAAAAGGCAGGCGAGATAGCTCAGTGAGCTCTTAAAATGAAAACATTAAATGAGATGCTTCTCGAAGTTAAAGGGGGCAGCTCAGTGCGTTTAGAGACTATTTCACAAGAGAAGCTCTCAGGAGAGAGATGCATGAATGCCTGGCAGGGAGTGTTTTATTAGAAAATGGATGAGAGTCTGCTTTAATGAGAGATGGTTTAATGAGGGAAGAGTGACAGAAGATGATGCTCCTGTGTTAGATATGTTTGGTAATAACTAAGCTGCACGCAGTGTGAGTGAGAGTGAATGTTCTCTCTGGGAAGAAGAATGTTATTTTAGGGTGTGCTTCTCGCTGTAATGTCACATTAAAAGTCAATTTACAATGGGGTCAACGAAAAGCTTTCTTGACTAAGAGGAAGCAAAGGGAGGAGGAGGAATTTGCGCTCCTTTCCAAAAATAAGTTTTACCCTTTCCTACGGATTTGTGTTACCACTACTGAAAGGGGGAGGAGGGGAACGGTCGGATCATGAATGGAGGGATTTAGGTTTGAGAGAAGGAAAAGAACGAAGAGGAGGAGGAAATATGGT